TGGCCTTTGGTTGTTGAGCTCACGCTCCAAGCAAGGAACCTGCAGCGCAAGGAAGCTAGGGCTGTAGGAGAGGCTTGGGCAGGCATCAAGGCTATCTGGGCGGTGCGGCCACGCCTTTGGCGCACGCAGCAGGGCCACTTGGAAGTGGCCGAGGCTTGTCCGGAACTCAAGAAGGATTTTCCGGAGCCTCCCCTGCGAGGTTTTGGGATCGTAGGGAAGCAGGCATTGGGGGCGGAAGTTCTGCGGCCCTTGAGGCTGGACGCGGTTCGTTCCATCGATGATGCCAGCATTAGAGGGATGCTGGACGAACCGTCACGACCCCTCTGGGACCATGAGGGTCTGTGCATCTGCGGCAAGCGGACCTACCTGTTTTCTCGCTGCCCCGCCTGCATCGAGAAAGAGGCAGTCGATACCTCGGTAGAGATAGCCGAGCGGGAGGAGCCCGAACCTCCGCTTGAGGGCGACCTTGAGGCCCATGAGGTGGGCCTAGAGGTCAACTCCGTCCTTGCAACTTTGGATAGGACAGGAGGTTTAGTTAGGGTTAGGTCCTCAACCATCCAGCAATGGGCGGTAGGGTTTAGGACTACGCCCAAAGATGCTCCAGTTCCCACTGCATATAGCATGCTGAGTGGGAAGATATGGAAGAAGAGCCATTCCATGAAGCTCAGCCTCGGCTCCCAGCACAAGGATCTTTCCAAGTGGGGCGACGTGAAGCCTTACTGGACCACATGGGTGGTTAGAGAAGATGGTGCTGTGGTGGCGGGGCACAACCGCTCGCCCCTGAATGTGGTTCAGGGCGACATCGTCGTGCATTGGTCGTCAGTGGTGAACTGGCACGGCCACAGACATGTCGTGAATGAGCAGTGTGAAGTGCTCTGGAGGTCTAATGGTAAAGAGGTTGCCTTAGATCCCTCCTTCGGCAAGCTGATAGCCCTTGTGGGTAGGGTTACTCAGGTCATTGGCTGGCGGGCAACCGGAGAAGCAGCTTCGGATCCCCGCAGGTCTACCCTGCAGGCGTCAAGGGTCCTTGCTCAATTCTCTTCGTCCAGCGAGGGCGTAGGAGGGCATTGGACCGCGGGCGCTATCAGTCGCGGGAAGAATGCCAATGAGTGCAAGCTGAAGGGTAGAGTTTTGGCGTTTATGGGTGAAGAGCACAAGGGCCCTGCAGTGGTTCTAGAGCTCGTTAGCCATAGCCCCATCCTGTGCATTTGGGACCATTCCTCAACCAAGGTCAAGGTCGAGTTTAAGGGCGGTGTTCCGTCTTTGAGCCTGATCGCGGAGGAGGACGAAAATCGTCGTGAGCAGCTTGCGGTCGAGGCAAGGGACGCGGCGAACATTTCGGAGTTCCGAGTCACGGGATCCCTTCGTACGGCGTGGTACGAGGGTCAGCGGCGCGATCCCTCATTGGCGGGCTCGATTCGCAAGCCAGAGCCGCCGATGGAGATATCCGGAGACGGGTTGCTTGAGCGCGAGGTGACCCTCAGGACGGGTCAAACCGTCGTAGTCCCAGTGGTTCCCAACGGGGCTGCGGGCGCGAATGGGGTGACCTGGCGCCGCGCTTGCTACAATTCAGTCCACTGTGGAGTCCTTGGGGCCCATAGGTCTGCTGAGGTTACCGTCAAGCTGCTAGAGAGGGCAGTCTGGTGGCCCGACTTAGAGAAAGATGTGCGGACCTGGGTCGCCAAATGTCTCGCTTGCATTAAAGGCCGCTCTCGACCGACGAAGGTTGAGGCTCGTGCGGTCAAATGTGGCGCCGAGACATGCTGGCAGGAAGTCAGCGTGGACTGTGAAGGTCCGAACCGAGAGGACAGGGAGGGGCATAGGTACTCGCTTACGTACTTCGATTGCCTCAGTCATGCTGTCCTCCTCGAGCCGATGAGGTCTCTGACTCATGCTGAAGTCAGGAGGGCGTTCGTGCGCTGTGTGCTTCGCAGCAGGACGATCCCGAGCCTCATCAGGTCGGATAGAGGGCCAGAGTTCAAGAATGCGCTCATGGCAGAACTCAGCGCTATGCTTGGGACCGAGTGGCGGTTCAGCGCGCCCTTGAGGCCTTGTGAGTTAGGCGCAAACGAGCGGGTCCACCAAGAAGTTCAAAAGGTGTTGGGGGCGGTCGTCAGGCAAGTCGGCGCCTCCCTTTCCGAAGCTTGGTCGGATTGGCTCGTGGTGGCGGAGTACGTCATAGATAACACTCCGGGACCCCACGGGTATACCCCGAGGGACCTAGAGCGGAGCTGGTCGCTCGCTCTACCACTTGAAAAGGACGTCCTGCGAGACGCCTTGCAGTTCGAACCCATCTCTGATTGGGCTCGGAGCCAGTTCAAGCAGTTCTCGGAACTAGCTGCTGCGGTCCGAGAGCACTGGACGCGGTCTTCAGAAGCGCGGGCGAAACTTGCAAATCGCCATAGGCGCACTGTGGACCTTAAGCCAGGCGACCGAGTGGTCTGGAACGCTCCGAGGGCCCGTTCAGAGGGGGCGGGGCGTGTGCCTTGGAAACCGGGTCTGACCGGCCCCTGGCGCGTGTTGGAAGTCAAGGGCCACAGGCTCACCTTGGAGCCCGTGTCGATGGAGTCGGGGGGTACTTCTTCCGCCCGGCGCGGCCCGATGGAGGCGCACGCAGAAGACTGCATTCTTGTTCCTGCGGATGCAGATGGCGCGGAATCCCGCGAGCCGGTCGTCTTTGAGGACGATGGAACCGGCGGGGACGGCTCGTCTCGCCCCAGCTTAGGGCAACAGGTTCAAGGCGACGCCAAGCAAGTGGAGTTCACGCTGACCAGGCGCGGGAGGGACTTCGTCCTCCGCCTTGGCGACCGCATTGCCTATCGGGGTGTAGGTGGAGGCCCTAAGGTGTGCAGGTTAGGACGGGTCACGCAGGTAGATGCTGCCCGTGCGCAGGTCGGCGTGCACCGCTATCTCCCCGACGCCAGCGGGGTTCGCGTCAAATGGCGGCTTGCATACATCGCCGAGGACGGTGCGCTCACGCTTTCAGAGGGGACTCGTCCGGCGCACGAAGCGGTTTCCGTCAGGGAGATCATTTCCAAGATCGACCTGAACCGCGACGGCGTGCTTGCTGCAGCCTCGGCCAGAAAGTTGGACAAGGGAGCGTACTCGTTGCAGGACAGGACGCTCGAGAGAGCGTCTCGCACCAGCACGGGTGTGCTCTCGATCCAAGAGGCCCTCGCGGACCTCTTGGTCGCGGAACCCCGCGTGTTGCAGCCTAGGGCTTCCCCAGAGTCGGGTGCTGTCGAGAGTTGGTTCCGGCAGTATTTCCTTGGAGGGGTTGCCGATGTCTTAGAGGTTGCTTGGGGTGACGCGGTCGTTTCCGACGCGGCTAGGAGGCACGGGTACAGGGTTGCTCCCGCTTTTGTGCAAGGCAAGCAGGCCTACGGGATCACCTGGAACCTGGCCGCAGAAGAGCACTTAGAGGCAATTAGCGGCGCTATTTTGCGCACAGAGCCGAAGGTGCTCGTGATTGGGCTTGAGGGCAAGAATGTGCCCCGGGCTTTCCTCCAGCTAGTCGTCCGGTGTGCGCAGGAACGCGCGCGCGCGGGCGCCCACGTCGCGCTGCATTTGCAGGCACAAAAAGGCGAGTGGGAACCCTGGCGGCTAGAGGAGTGGGGCGCCTTGTTTGGGACGCTCGCAGTGCCACGCTGGCCTTGGGCTTTCGTGCGGGCTGACATATGCCGCGCGGGCCAGTGGCCGCGGCAACCTCGTTGAGAGCGGGGCCCTGTGGCTCGCCGATTTCAGCTTAGAATCGGTAGGTTTGAGGTGTAGTAGGCCGGATGCGTTAGGCGCAGTGCAGCACAAGCACGTTGGGCGCGCGCAAGCCGACTACAACCTCATAGGGGCGGCTTTCTGCGCATCGCTCCAGGACCTTGGTCTGAGGGGCGCAGAAGAGCTTAGCACCGCTGCAGTTGAAAGCTTTCCAGCCACTGCGGGCGCTGATAGCGCCGCGGCTGCGCCACAGCCCTCTCCAGTCGTTCCCCTCCCGGACGTGCGCTCGGGCGAGGACCTCACGCCAGCAGAGCGTGCGGAGCTGGATAAGGAGGTGGATAAGTATGCCGCTGAGAAGGAAGCGTTTTGGCGAACCAAGGCGGACGCCAAGGACTGGGATTCCGTCCGGGCTGACCTTGAAGTCTATGCTCTTGCGGGCGAGAAGGTCGCGGAGGATCCTAGGCGCACCGAGGCCTATAGAGACCTCGTATGGTCGGGTTTGAAGATCGAGCCTGGACCAACCAGACCAGGGCTGACCGATGCTGACATCGCAGCCGTCAGGGAGGTCGTACGGCGAAAGGCCGCTGGGTTCTGGGTGGAGGACACCACCAGGACCACGGTCAGGAAGTTCGCCCATGACTGCATCCCCACCGGGCCGCCGGTCTCGTCCCAACCTCATGGTCTGAGGGGCGAGTCCGCGCAATGGGTCGACGACAAGCTTGAAGAAGAATGCAAGCGGGGTCAGTTGATCCGCGGCAGCTCGGCTTGGGGATCTGCGCCGTTTCCGACCAAGGAAATGCCCGCATAGGAAGCGGCGCTTGGTGGTTGACTACCGCCGTGTGAATGCCCGAATTAAGCGCTCCACGTACTATTGTCGGCGGGGTAGCGATGTGCTCGCCGCCGCAGTGGGTTCGGTTTGGTATACCTTCGTGGATGCGGTTAGTGGGTTTAATCAGATTAGGAACACCAAGTGTGAAATCAGTGGAGGCTTCCTCCCTGGCCATATCACCCGCGGTCTTTCTTTTCGGCCCACAGAGGGCCCTCTTGATCCTTAAGCTACTGACTTTGCAGTGTGCGTAAAATTGAGTCCGAGCCATAGATTCGAAGTGGGCGCTGTCAGTTGGCAGCGGAGCCTGCGTGGCTCTTGGCGGCGTGTGTGGCGTCGCAGCCGGCGGTCCCAGGGGCCTGCTGTTTCCCTCCTCGCCTTCTAACCGATCAGCCGCGGGAAGGTGGTGACGTATCTGATCGAGCCCAGCCACGTCGACATCTACAAGAGCGAGTGAGTGAAGATGCCATCTACTTCGGAAGGACAGTCCTCAGGCGATCCTGGAGGATATGTCTACCGAGATAGAGATCCCCCACCTTCTTGGAACGGTTCCACTCCAGAGGTCTCTTTCAAGACCTGGCTTCGAGATCTTGAGCTGTGGGAGGCCACGACGGATATTCCCAAGGAGAAGAGGGCGATCAAGCTGGTTCAAGCTCTCACAGGGCCAGCAAGGGAGGCGGTGTCGTCTTTGACGCTGGCCGAGCTCCAGCATGCGGACGGCTACAAGACGGTGATGAAAGTGCTCAACGACAACTTTAAGCCGTATGTGGAGACAGCGTTGCCGAGGGCCATGGAGGGCGTGTTCTATGGCCAGGCTAGAGGTGCCAAGGAGTCCATCCCGGATTACCTGGTGCGCGCGTCGCATGCCTTGGCGGAGCTCAAAGCCGAGGGCGTGGACCTTCCGGCGAAGGCTGCCGGATACTTGCTGTTCCGGCAGGCGAACTTGGACAAAGAGCTGGAGTCCCGTGTGGTCACGTGGTTGGCTGGCGACTACACCAAGGATGTGGTGATCGCCAACCTAAGGCGACTTGACCGCATCAACTCGAGCAGCTCCGGGTCCAAGGCGATGCTCTGGACGGAGACTGAAGAGGGCGAAGGCCAGGAGGTGTACTACGAGAACCACGAGCACTATGGCGAGCCCGAGTTCTACCTGGAGGCGGAAGACGAAGAAGACGAGAACTACGTGTACCTAGAAGACGGCGAGCTGGACGCGGTGTACGAGGAAGGCGATGTCATGGAAGCTTTGGCGTCGTACCAACATGTTCGGCAGCAGCTCAAAGAACAGCAAAAGGGCCGGCAGTACTACCAGCCGAACCTTGGCAAGAAAGGGGGCAAGAAGCTCTTCAACAAGGACGGCAAGAACACCGGCAAGCAGAGCAGCAAGTCCTTCGGCAAAGGCGGCTCGGCATGGAAGGGGTCGCCTACGTCACGAAGAGTGCACATAGAGCAGCTCAAGCTTAGGACTCGATGCCGGGCTTGCGGAGAAGTCGGGCACTGGAGCAAGGAGTGTAGGCACCGAGCGGGGCCATCGCTGACTACCTCTTCGTCATCGTCGGGCCCGGGAGCAAGCCGAGGGTCCTTCTACTGGGCCGGCCGAATGGATGGCGGGTCTGGTGGAGCGAACACCTTCTTGTCCTTCGGCCAGTTCCTCAACGACAGGCCGGGCGAGTCGATGGCGGGCGAGCTCTTCGTGGGAGTGACTACGCAGGGATGCCACGGCCTGGTGGACACTGCGGCTCAGGAAGGCCTGGTGGGTCGTCCGGCCCTTCTTCGTTTGCTGGACCTTTTGAGGCCCCTAGGCCTAAAAGGCTGCTGGACGGACAAGGCCACCCAGGCACGCGGCATTGGAGGCGCAGCAAAAAACAGTCGGCGTGTGCGAAGTTCCCATCGGCCTCGGTGGAGTTCCAGGAGTGCTTGAGCTGACAGTCGTAGCCGAAGACGTGCCATTGCTGTTGCCGGTTAGTCTCTTGAGGGCCTTGGGCTCAGTCATTGACCTAAGCAAAGACAAGATCACCTTCAGCAAAGTGAATGGAGAGTGCAACATGACGACTCTTCCCTCAGGGCACGCAGCTGTGGATGTGCTTGACTTTGGTCCTGAAGGTTGGGTGACGCCTTCCGCGTGTGCAGGGCGTCGTATGGAGTCCGACTTTCGCACTGGGCAGGTTTTTGGCTCGAGACCAAAGACTACAAGATCGAACAAGACTCTCACGTCCGAGGCCTATGCTAGCTTCTCGTGCCCTGCAGCAGCAGCAGCAGCAGGGGCGGCAGCGGAATCCATGGCAGCTAGTGCGGAATCCCGTCAGCCGGCCAAGGCTCGCCGTCCGAAACTGGCGGGTTTTGTTGGACAAACTCTGCTCGCTGCTGGCCTGGGGATACTGGCAAACCGTGGTGTCACCGTGGCTCTCTCTTCCCGGGCCAGAGTCGCAGCAGCAGCCCAGCCCTACGGATACCACTTCGCCAGCGACCTTGACTACGAGTTCGGCTACCAGCAGGGGCCAGATCTACAAGAACTACCTGGAAGGCGAGAGGCCCGAACAGCTGGCTTCGGTGAAAGGCGTGCCGACTCAAGAGATTGGCCGCTGTGCTCACCCAGCTCAGCAGCTCAAAGGAGGAGGCAATGGACACATGAACTGGTTCCACTGCAACCTGTGCAAGGCTCGATGGAAACTCAGCCCGAGAACAGCCGGAGCTTTGACCGGCCGACCAGTGGAGACCGTGAACCAGTCGAAGGAGAAGACCCTCAACCTGGCGGAGAACGCTCTGAAACAACAAGAGAAGCGAATGGCCCAGAAGCACCAGGTGGAGATGGGAAACCTGATGCAGCAGCTGGCGGACGAGCGCGCCAGGAGCGACGAGCTGCAGACTACGCTGGACTTGCGCGAGGGCGAGTACCTGGAGTTCGAGAGGGCGGTGGAGAACGTGACCGCAATGGAGGCTCACCTGTCCGAGATGGACCCGACTACCGCGAACCAGGTGCAGGCAATGGTCTCCGAGTTCAAGAGAGTTCAGCGCTACGAGCAGGAGACCCGACATCGAGCGAACACGCTGCCCTTGCGAGAAACCAAGAGCGACTGGGAGCAAGCCGTGGCCACGATGAAGCAAGCGGTGGACATGGTGAACCAGTTCTACGCGCGCATGATGACCCAAAGAACCCAAGTGGCGAAGCAACTGGCAGGAATGTGAACGTAGGCCAGAACGTCAGATCGTGGGATGGAACGCGAGTGTTGCAAAGTGCTACGCCTAACATGGTGCGTCGTTGGAGGGCCAGGCCTCTTCCCTTCCTGGACGACTTTGTGGTGGTCTCCAAGAATGGTGTCCTGCAGCGAATGGACCGGCAGGACGTGGAGGGCCTGCACAGCCTGGAAGACGAGGAGGTCTATGTGGTGGTCAAAGAGCCCGAGCTGTACTTGGAGCACCAGAGCGACGAGACCAAGATCGACAAGGCGAAGTCTGATCAGATCCTGGACTACCTCGTGGGGGCTAGTGCCGGGGTTGACGCCATGACCATAGACCTAAAGGGCGTCAACCAGAATGCGGTGTGGAAGGACATCGAGAGCCAAGGTCCCAAAGTAATATACCTGAACAAGGTGGCGTCGGAGCAGTCGTCGCTGGCTTGTCGCATCGCGAGACATCAGTGGAGGAAGGGCCGTGGCTTCGTAATCAGTGCCTTGGGGCCGCTGTCATCAGGCTTGAAGAACCTGAAGGAGGCCACTTCAGAAGGCACCGCGTCCTACCTGCTATACCGCAAGAAGTACCAGATCACAAACTTCAAGGACGCAGTCAAGTATGCCATGGCGAAGGGCAAGCCGCCCCGAGCGGAGGGGGCAATCATGGACTATAACCTCGAATGCTTCCCCGGAGAGGTCGCAGAGCAGGACATCTTCGACGAGCTCGACCTTCGCCCGATGGACACAGTGGACGAACGTCCTGAAGACTCGGTCGTCCCGGTGGGTGAGCCTACAAGACAAGAAAAGGAGGCAGTGATGAAGCTGCATCGAAACTTGGGACACCCCAGCTTGGCGGATCTGGCGCGAACTCTGAAGGTGAGCCGAACACCAGACAGGATATGGCGTTGGCGAAGGACAACTTCAGATGTCCTACCTGCGCTGCCAGTAGAACTCCGAAGGCGCATAGGCCGGCGATGGTGCCCAGGTCGTACGCGCCCAACACCGTGGTCGCGATCGACCTCTTGCAGACGCCGAATTGAGATGCTTCCGGACAGAACTGGTACTTGAACATGATTTGCCTGGGCACCTCCTTCCAGATGGTGGAAAAGCTACGAAGCAAAGAGCCCGTGAGTGTGTGGGCGGCCTTTACCAGAACGTGGGGGCGCTTCTTAGGAATGCCACAGATCCTCCTTCTGGACCAAGGGCGAGAGTTCTTGGGCGAATTTCGAGACCGATGCGCGGAACTAGGCGTGCTTCTGCACGTTATTGGGGCCAGGGCGCCACACCAGAACGGGCGCTGTGAAAGGCACGGCGGCCTCTTCAAGCAGATGATGGAAAAGGCGAAGTGGCAGAATCCTCCGTGCTCAGAGGATGACCTCAGGTTGCTGACACGTGAGGTGGAAGCAGCCAAAAATCGCCTCTTCAATCGCTCCGGCTTTTCTCCAGCTCAAAGGATGCTGGGGCAGACAGCGCGGACCAATGGGGAGCTCATGTCGGACGATGCCATTGACCCCGCGCTGGTGAACCACGGTGAGGAGGTGGAAAGAGTGTTGGCAGCGCGCAGGGCTGCCCAGAAGGCGTTCGTGGAGACCAACCTGTCCGAGGCGGCTAAGCACGCTCTCCGAGCCAGGAATCGCGTGCACCGAACCTTTCAGCCGGGAGAGATCGTCTACATTTGGCGGTCGTGGAAGGATAAAGGTGTGCTTAAGCCTAACTGGGTCGGGCCAGGCGTCGTTTTGATGCCTGAGGGAGCGAACTGCTACGTCAATGTGTTGGGCAGACTTTGGAAGGTCTGCAACGAGCACGTGCGGGAGGCCACGTCGGAGGAGGTTCGCGGAGTGGAAGCTGTGCATGAAGTGTTCCAAGACCTAAAGGAGCGCTTCAAGAAGTCGAGCAGTCGTTTAATCGAGGACCACACGGGCGACCCACTTCCACCAGGAGTTTCCCGAGGAGCCATAGTTCGCGAAGCTGGCGAAGATGAAGTGAGCGCAGAAGGCCTACATCGAGGGCTACCCCGAGTGAGGATTGACGAGCCGGAGACGCCCGTGGTGCCTATACCCATTCCGCCAGAAGAACTTCCCGATCCAGCGCAACTGCCAGAAACTCCAGTGCCAGAAGTCCCAGCAGAGCCAGCAAGGCAAGCATCAGCGCCGGAGCCCGAGGCAGAGATAGAGGTTCCCGAACTCCCCGTTCCTGAAGCTCCCGGTCGAGAAGAACGACTACGCGCAGCTGTGGACTCCGCGGTGCAGAGCCAGAGATTGGACGGTGTTCCCCCAAGAGCGCCAAGCAGGCTAGCAGAGGCGGAGAGCAGCGCCGGGTATGAGCCGGTGCGATCTTCCCTGAGAAGGCAGCAGGAGCCGGGCAACCCATACTCGTTCTTTGGCCAGGATGAGTTTGAGGAAGGACCGACGCCAGTTCCACCTCGGCGACAAAGCGAAGTGCAGCGTGACACCTGGGAGCTAAAGCCGGCCCTGGGCGTCCTGAGAAGGCATCACGTTCGCTGGCGCAGCGCGATGTGCACACCCTGGGAGACGACGAGGCTGCCAGTCAAGCTGGAAGATCTCACAGGAGAGAGGAAGACGATGGCGAAGATGAAAGATGGAAGCGTGCAAGAAGTGGAGGACGATTGGAAGAGTTTGAAACCCCAGCGAGATCTGAAGGCCAAATGGAAAGGCTTCACCGACTTCTATGTCACCAAGAAGGCCTTAAGGAACCTGAAGCATGTAACGTCGAAAGAGGTCCCCAACTTTGACGTGGAGACGACCGAAGCGTATACGTTCATGGTCCTCAATGCCGAGACCTTCGTCATGAAAAAGGTGGCGACGGATGAGGTAAGCGAGGCCGACATTCCCGAAGAGGAGTGGCCAGCCTGGCGACTACAAGACGCTGAAGAGTGGAGCAAAATAGAAAGTTCCGGCGCGATGAAGGTGCTGTCGGTGGAGGAGTCGAGAAGAGTCCTCAAGGAGCTGGAGTCGCAGGGCAAGCTGAACCGGGTGATCGGGTCAAGAATGGTCCGAAGGCTGAAGCCCGGGGAACAGATTGGCGAGACACCGTCAAAGAAGTCTCGCTTTTGCGTGCGAGGTGACATGGATCCCGATGCTCTGGACTTGGAAAGATACAGCCCGACGGTCACGACGCAGAACTTGCAAGTGGTTTTGCAGCTGGCCGCAAGTATGAAGCTGAAGGGGTCCTGCGGGGACCTGAAAGCAGCCTTCACCCAGTCGGACCCTCTCTTGAGACCAGGCGGCAAGCTCTACGTGAGGCAGCCAAAAGGGGGTCTACCGAACATGGACCCAGAACAGATCATCGAAGTGGTGGCCGGCGTTTACGGGCTCATGGATGGTCCCATACATTGGCGCCAGACGCTGAAGAGCTACATCGTGAAGGACTTGAACTACAAGCAAAGCAGGCTAGACCCAACCATCTTCGTTAAATACTTAGAGGGCACCGTTGAAGGGATCATAGTGATAGAGATCGATGACTTGCTGTGCTTTGGCAACCGAGATCATGAAGTTCAGCTGGCAAAACTGCGCGAGCGCTTTAAATTCGGAAAATTCAAGCAGTTGATGCAGCTCTTGGATGGCACGACATTCAACGGGCGACGCGCATCAGACAACTGAGCGACTACACCGTCTGCATAGACATGGGCAAGTTCGTGTCCGAAAGAATGGCGCCAGTGAGTCTGGAAAAGGGACGCAGAGCTCACCCCGAGGCAGACGCGACGGAGGAAGAGAAGAACAAATTCAGAGGTGCCGTAGGATCTTTAGCGTGGGCCGCCAAGGAGTGTCGTCCAGATGCCGCCGCTGGAGCCAGCATAATGGCATCCAAGTTGAGCACGCTCAAGATCAAGGACATTCTCGAGCTGAACCAGTGCATCAATAAGGTGCGCGCTTGGCCAGACCTCACCTTGCGCTACTTCCCAATAGAGTGCGAGGACCTGAGATGGGGCGTGGTCACGGATGCAAGCTTCACCAACTACAGCGACGGCTCCACCCAGGGGGCCTTGGGAGTCATAGCATTCCACAAGGACATGTTGCAGGGGCACGAAGCTACCTGCTCGCTGGTCTGGTGGAAGAGCGGAAAGCTGAGAAGAAAAGTGAACTCAACCTTGGCCGCCGAGACTCAATCGCTCAACAAAGGTCTAGGAGATCTTCTGTGGGCGAAAGCAATCTGGAATGACTTGATCCAGGAGAAGTTCAGCCTCGAAGTTTTCAAAGAGAACGCCAGAGCCCAGGCCGATTTGGTGCTGCAGAGTGCCAAGGCAGATCACACGCTCAAAGATTCGCTGACAGTTGTGGATGCGAAGTCGCTCTACGACAACCTCCGAAAGGAGGGTTCGCTGGCCCAAGACAAGTACACCGCGCTGGACTTGGCGATAGCTCGTGAGAGAATGGATGGCGTAGGCGCCGAAGTCCGCTGGGTTGAGCATCAAGCCATGATTGTAGATGCCCTCACAAAGATTCAAGGCAACGCTGAGGCCCTAAAGAAGCTCTTAGAAAAAGGGACATACCAGTTAGTTGCCGAAACCGAAAGGCTTGAAGAGCGGGCTGAGCGCCGAGATGCCGGGACCGTGAAACATCGGTGAATGGCCAGAAAGAGTTTTGGGAGCTGTGAAATCAGTGGAGGCTTCCTCCCTGGCCATATCACCCGCGGTCTTTCTTTTCGGCCCACAGAGGGCCCTCTTGATCCTTAAGCTACTGACTTTGCAGTGTGCGTAAAATTGAGTCCGAGCCATAGATTCGAAGTGGGCGCTGTCACCAAGCGTGCTCGCGAGGTGTTGGCCATTGTGGCAAGATCAGGGAAATATCTCCCTGTCGGCCTCACCTTTGGCCCGATTAACGGCCCAGATGATTTCAACTTTGTGGTTGATAGGGCCTATGCCCCCGGCAGAGGTAGGCGCCTTAAGTATACTAAGGAGTGGATAGCCTACGTGGATGATCTTACTGTTAGGACGGGTAGGGTCATTGATGGGCAGTTTTTCACTGATGCCCAAGCCGAGGGGGCGGTGCGCGAAGCGTGCGCCAAGGGGGCAGTCGCGGCTCCGCAGAGCGCGTCGTCTGCTCTTGAAGCCTTAGGCGTTCGCGGTGCGCACAACACCAAGCGCGCGAACCATGACGCGGCGCGCTCAGACCAGAATCACCCCACGCGCGTTCTGATGCTCAGGATGTTGGGGCTGTTCGGGTGTGTGTTCAGGGCGGGTGTTTTGGGGCGGGCCGTTTCCCAGGTCGCCGGTCTGCGGGCAGAAGGATTTTTCGTCGTTCGTCGCGTGCAGCTTCGTTCGTCTGTCTCGCAGCCAGTGTTTTGCAAGCAGGCCTAGAGGTTCGGTCCAAGGTCGAAGCAGAAGCCGTAGAAGCCTTAGAGCCCAGACCTTAAGGAAATTCCCCAAACCCCCGCCGCAGCGGTTCAAGTGTGTTGTAGAACCTAGGGTAGGTAGTCCCTCCCCGCATTCGTGCCTGTGCACTGCGCCCCGCTGCGGGTCGCGACCAGACCGCGCGGGAGCGACCGATCGGTCGCCCGGACCTTCGTGGTCAACCACAAGGCCCCGCTGCGGGCCGTGCCCTGGCCGCGCGGGAGCGGCTGCCTACCACTACTGCACACCGGCCCCTTGCAGCGGGCCGTGTCCTGGCCGCTCAAGGGCGCGTCAGGTTTTCCTCGCCTATCGGAGGTCTAGCAAAGCCGCGGGCCTCAGTGCCGCGATGGGTGGAGGAGGGTCGAAGGGCAGGGGCAAGAGCAAGAGCCCAGGCCCTAAGGGCCGAAGGGGCCCGCCCACGATCGACGACGTGCAGCGTATGCTAGTCCGATGCATGCGGCACGGCGAAGCTGGTTGTAGAGGCCGGTTCGCTCCGGGCGGCCTCTACCCGGTTGATGAGTTGATCGAGCAACTCGGCATCACCATCAACCAGTACAACCAGGCGGTCGCGCACGACGCCAACCAGCGGAAGCCGAGGTTGGATACCTCGCACGCTGGCTTCCTGCGTGCCTTTCAAGGCCACTCGGCCGATTGCGGCCATCCTATGGGGTTCATGATGGAGGGTCTAAGTGAGACCGCCATCAACGATCTTATAGACCGGTATGGCCCGGCCATGTGGCACGGCACGGACCTGCATGTCGTGCCAAGCCTGATTCAGAACGGCTTGATCCCCGGCGGCGGGCCGGGAGGCCGCCTCGGGGTGCACTACGTCCTAGGCCACTGCCCCAGTGGGAGGACGGGAGACGCGGGTTCCGCCGCGGATCGACTTGCATAGTCGAAGTCCGGTTGGCAGTCCTGCGGGACGCCGGAGTGCCTATCTATTCGGGAGCGGATGGGGTGGCTCTCACTGGCCAGATTAGAGCCACCGGCATCTCCCGCATCTGGGCACTCCCCAAAGGCTCGCCTGTTTACTCAGTCTTAATTGCTGAGTTAGAAGTGGATCGGTTGATCCAGCATGTCGACCTAAGGAGTTTAGGCGACACCAGCGCGGGCCCCCACCCGCCGCTGGGGCGAGGACCGAAACTGGGCACGGTCCAAGCGTCCCAAGCTGCTGCGGCCAGCAGTGGCGCGGCGAGCTCCTCGACGGTTGCGCTGGCCCCTGCGGGCCGTGTCATGGCCGCGGGGGCCGCCCAACCTGTTACCCCTCCTAAGGCCGCGCCTAAGGCCAAAGGGCGTGCTTCAGGGGCTCCTAAGACTTCGATCGTTCCAGCGAAGCCCAAGGTGTACCCTAGGCGCAACGTCCCTGGCCCCAATGTCCTCGAGGCCGAAGACTCGCTCGAGGAAGAGGCAGCCCAAGAAGCTGAAGGTGTCGAGGAAGATAGTTCCAGCTCGGATCTTCCCGACACGCGGGCGCCTCAAGCCGCGGTCAAGGTGAAGGAGGACGAAGAGCCCGCTGGTGGGGCCCAGGCCGAGAGCACAGAGGAAGGATTCCTCGAGCTTGGCCAATCGGTGGTCAGTAGCGCGAAGGAGTACCTCGCGCGGTCCGAAGCTCTTCTGAGAGCGCAGAAGCTCCAGTCGAAGATACTGGAGGTGGCGGGAACCGCGATGGTGAAGCTAGAAAAGATCACCAAGCGTGAGGAATCCCTCAAAACACTGCGCCGAGAGGGAGAGAGTCGGGCGGCCGGGGAAGGCGCCGACGGGGAAGAGGTGTCTGACGATGGTCAGGATGCCCCCGGGATTGCGGGATCGAGCAGTTCCGCCAAGCCTTCAGGAGGCGGGACCGTCCAGTCCGCCCCGGCCCCAGAGGAGCCTCGCCCCAACGCTGACGGCCACTATGGATGCTCAGCTCCTGGATGCGGGCTGGCCTTTGAGTCGCTGGCGCAATACCACTTGCATCAGGCGGCCTGTCACGGCGCCTCTCTTCCGCCCAACCTGGGGATCAGCCCCTCCGCACCTCTTGACCCTTTTCGTCAAGACTGGCGGGGACGGTTGTTCCGCCGAGGAAAGGACGGTGGGTATGGGGAGGTGCCCATGCTCCGAGTGATTCGGTACCACAAAGCCAACGGGTACGATCACTCGAAGGTCCCGCTCCTGAAGAGAGGGGACCGAATCCAGCTTGAGGACGGATCGCACCACATATATGGTGGTAGTCATCCGCCGGGGTGGCTTCGCGATGACCCCGAGCTGGACCCCGCTCCAGAGAGTAGCGGTGGAGGGTCCACGCCCAAGAGCGAGCCCACGGAGGAGGCCGAGCCGGGACCTCCGCGGGAAGCCGCTCCGCGCGGGCGGGCCCTCGAGCCGCCGAAGAGCGACGTTCAGCAACGCCTTGCAGAGCGTCGTTCCAAGCGGGATTACTCGCCAGACCTGGTGACGCCTCTTGACGATCTCCATGCCCAGGAGATCGATTCCTTCTTCGCGGGCGACCCAGCCGCGGATAGCCTTGACGTCATTTTGATGCGCGCCGAGGTTCGCACTGAGTCCACCTCAACGTTGGCCGGGAGCAAGAAGAGCCCCTGGTCAAGGAGGAACAGGAGGAGGAAGCTGAGGTTGTCAAGGACGAGGAGGTCTCGGTTGAGATGGAGGCAGGCACCGCGGATGAGGCGGACGATGTCGCCCTCCCAGCCAACCGAGCCTACGTCGAAGGCCGCTTTTACCCCTACGGCAGCTGGCGGTGCTTCTTCTGCGAAGCCATCAACCCGGTTACCGAGGACCAGTGCCTCACCACGCACGCGGGCGGCCCGGATGCGGGTGCCCCGTGCGACGGCCGATGGATCAACGGGATCGACATCGGGTGGTGGGAGGTAGATCCTCAAACCGCGCCAGAGCAGTGGAGGCGGAGGTTTTCTGCCGAAGAGCTTGAAGAACAACAAGCGCGGGCGGATGCCGCGAGGCTTCTCAGCGATGAGGAACTCGCTGAAGCCCTCCAGGCGGCCGAGGAGGCGCAGGCGGCCGAGCGCGCCAAGAAGCGAGAGCGGCGCCAGGCGGAGAAGGCGGAGCGCGATGATCACATCAGCGAGGCGCTCCGCATAGCAGGGTGGCAGTGCCCTAACTGCTATGAATGGAACCTTTCATTCAGGCAGCTGTGCTTTCGGTGCAGCACGCCTCTCCGCTTGGCAGAGGTCGTCTCTCGCGGGATCCCTGATCCGCGGCGTGGCGAAGAGAGGGACTCGGGCTCCGAAAGCAGCCAGGACGAGCTGGAGTACGAGATCCTTCTGGCCAATCGCGCAATGGACACCGCTCGTTCCCTAGGGTTTTTGCACGCGGCCCAGCGAGGCGCGGGTCCTGCGCTCACAGACTCCATTCGGAGTACCGCCTCCGAAGCCCTGGCTAAGGGTAAGGTTGTGTTGGGTTTGGGGAACAGTGCAGGATGTTTCTCCCAACTTGCGGCCAAGAGCCGCGGGCTCTCCTGCTTTCAGGGGCTCGCGGGTCGTGACCTGGCCGCGGCCCCAGCAGATGGAGCGAGCGCAGCCCACGCACGTTCCGGCTTCGTGCAACGTGCCGCCACTGCCACTGTGGCGCGCACACCCAGCCGGAGGAACAAGGGCCCAGCCCCCGCTAGGAGTTCTCCAGTCAAAGAAGCGGAATTCCTTGCGGGCGGGCCATACGTTCAGGCCGCCCAAACGCTGCTTGGGTCTGGAGCAGCAGAGGATGTGATCTACATCCGGGCGTACAGCTTAGATTGCCCATCCTGCATCGAGGCAATCGAAGCGTCGCTTAGCAAGGGCGCAGGCGTTCGGATTGTCGCCGACATGGGACAATGCCACCGCACCAAACTGCAGTGGCAAGCGTTGAAACGCTTGGCGGCTGCAGGCGCCGAGGTGAAGGTGGGTTGCGGCACATCCGTGCGCGACGCCTATGCTCGCGACGGCCGCGGGGCTAAAGTAGGTACCGGAATCCAAGGGCTTCACCATGCCAAGGCCCTTTGCCTACTGCGGCCTGATGGCGCGGTGGTGCTGATTGGGAGCCTCAATTTTACCACAAGCAGCAAAGCCAATGCGGAGGCAGGGCTTAGGCTTGAGGTCCCCAAGACGCACCCGGTCGCGCAGTCCTACATTGAGGATTTCCAGAGGGTGTCGGCTGAGGCATTCTCCCTCGATGAGGCGGTCGCAAGGCGCCCTCAGTTGGAGCGAGCCAGTAGCTCCAACGTTGCTGGCAACGCCACTCGTGCCCCCGAC